GGGGGGGGCGAAACTGTTCAGCGATTTGTAGACATACAGGAGTATTTTGAACTGGAATCAAAGGTGAACTGGTAACCAGTGCAGTGAGGCCAAAACTGGTGTAATGTGCTCTCTTTTGCCTGTACTGGTTAAAAATCGGGCAGCTGCATTCTGGATCAGTTGTAGTCGTGCAATGGAGGTCTGACTGATACCAAACAGGAGTGAATTGCAGTAATCAAGCCTAGATGTAATGAATGCATGTATTACTGTCTCCAGGTTTTTTTTGGACAATATGGGCTTCAGTTTAGACAGCCGCCTCAGTTGGAAAAAACATGATTTAACAATCATGTTTACATGATTGTTAAGTTTCAGGGAAGGGTCCATTATCACGCCCAGATTAGTGACTCTTTGTTTTTCTGACAGGGTTAGAGTGGAAAGGTCGATGCAGTGGTTTGTGATTGTGTCGTTGGGAGGGAACAACATGACTTCAGACTTCTTTTCATTGAAACTTAAGACATTTAAAGCCATCCAGTCCCTGATGTCAGCCAAGCAGTCAAGCAGCAGTTGAATAGAGCATGTACCACTATGTCTTAGGGGGAAGTAAATTTGACAGTCATCGGCGTAGAAGTGGAAGGGCATGTTGTGTTTACGGAAAATAGCACAAAGTGTCAGCAGGTATAAAGAGAATAGGAGGGGACCCAGGATGGACCCCTGCGGAACCCCCCATTTAAGCTCTGCCGCTGCAGAACTAAAATCCTTAATGGAGACACAAAAGGATCTATCAGCGAGATAGGATCTGAACCAATTGAGGGCTCGCTCTGTGATGCCCACCCACTGCTCCAACCTAGCAATGAGGATCTCATGGTCGATGGTGTCAAAGGCGGCTGTAAGGTCCAATAGGACAAGCAGCACAGAATCGCCAGCATCTGTGGATAAGAAGATGTCATTAAAATCCTTCAATAGGGCAGTTTCAGTGCTTGGAGAGGTTTAAAGCCAGATTGGAATAGCTCTAAGATAGCGTGACCCTCCAGGAAGCACTTCAACTGGGACTCAACTATTTTCTCCAGTAGTTTAGAAACAAATGGGAGTCTGGAGACATGCCGGAAGTTGGATACGACTGCTTTGATTTGGTTGTGTGTGCAGGTATTACAACCGTCTGAGAAACCTGGTGAAAGACCCTCGACACGACTGTGTGCTCTTTGCTAACGAGTTCCAGACGTATTCGTACTGTCCCCGAGAGAAAGGAGAGACCCTGGAAACATGGCAGACCAGGTAAGAACTTTCAGGCGCTATAGCAACATGTAGACCCTGCAAAACAACTTATGACCCAACAAAGTATGAAAACTAAGGCCTTAAATTCCTTAGAGGATACTGCATATACACTGCCTGGCCAAAAAAAATGTTGCCACCTGGATTTAACTAAGCAAACAGGTATGAGTCTCCTATTGGATAATTACTGCATGGGCAGTAATTTCAGCTGGCAACAAGTTATTTAACTCCAACTGGTGCAATGAGTTGCTTCTCATTTCTTAAACAATCATGTGGAAAGACACATGGCATCGTTGTGAAAAATATGTCAGTCTGTTTGAGAAGGGTCAAATCATTGGCATCAAGCAGAGAAAACATCTAAGGTGATTGCAGAAACTACTAAAACTGGGTTAAGAACTATCCAATGCATTATTAAAAACTGGAAGGACAGTGGGGACCCATCATCTTCCAGGAAGAAATGTGGCCAGAAAAAAATCCTGAATGATCTTGATCGTGATAACTTAAATGTTTGGTGAAATCAAATGGAAGAAAAACACCAGTAGCACTCAGGGCCATGTTTAATAGTGAAAGTAAGAACATTTCCACACACACAATGTGAAGGAACTCAAGGGATTGGGGCTGAACAGCTGTGTAGCCTTAATAAAACCACTAATCAATGAGGCTATCTGGGGAAAAAATAAATCAATTTGCTAGGGAGCATAAATATTGAACTCTGGAGCAATAGAAGGTCATGTGGCCTGATGATTCCAGATTGACCCTGTTCCAGAGTGATGGGCGCATCAGGGTAAGAAGAGAGGCAGGTGAAGTGATACAGACATCATGCCTAGTGTCTACTCATCAATGCAAGATCTTGGTGAAAAATTATTGCAACACTGAATGAAAATAGATCTAGTGACATTGCAGAAGCTTATTGAAACAATGCCAACAATGCCACATAATAGTGGTGCATACATGGTAAATAGACTGTACTTTTAAAGCTCCTTTCTATCTGATCAAGATACTCAAAGCGCTTGTGTAACAATCTGTGCCCTCATTTACCCATTCATACATAACTCTAATAGATCGCTACAAAGCTAATTGAACAAATAATTCTAAAGAGAATAATCAGAGTTTTATCACATTCATACAGCGATGGGACACACATCAGAGGCAATGAGGGGTTCAGTGTCTTGCCCAGGGACACTTGGGCATACGACTGCTGGTGGATTTGAACCTCCAACTTTTGCATTGGAAGCCGTCTGCTCTAACCACTCAGCCACAGCCTCCCCGTGTGTATTAGAGTACTGTATGAATGTGTGTAGTAGAGTGCTGTATCAATGTATGTAGTTTAGTAGAGTGCTGAATGAATTTTTATAATGGAGTGCTGTTTGAATGTGTGTGTCTAGTAAATTGCTGTCTGAGTGTGTGTAGTAGTGTTGTATAAATGTGTATAGTAGAGTGCTGTATGAATGTGTGTGTAGTAGAGTGCTGTATGAATGTGTGTATAGTAGAGTGCTTTATGAATATGTGTCTAGTAGAGTGCTGTATGAATGTGTTTATAGTAGTCTTGTATGAATGTGTTTATAGGAGAGTGCTGTATGAATGTGTTTATAGTAGAGTGCTGTATGTATGTGTGTTTATAGTAGTGTGCTGTATGAATGTGTTTATAGTAGAGTGCTGTATGAATGCGTGTATAGTAGAGTGCTATATGAACGTGTTTATAGTAGATTGCTGTATGAATGCGTGTATAGTAGAGTGCTGTATGAATGTGTTCATAGTAGAGTGCTGTT